AAAATAATCATATGATGAGTGTTTTGTAAGGAGAATTATCCAAAACCCAGTATTCAGTGACAACAACATACTCGCTTACAAAAATGTCCATTTTGGGAAAGGAATAAAGATGTCCTCAAGCAATCTGTCTAATTTCTGAAAAGTCTTAGTGGAAATTTTGTTTAGAAATTGGAGAAAGTAAAGAAAGATGACATTTTCCAGATTTGATCCTCGTAATTTTGTAGAGCCTAGAGGAAAAAGTAACAGTTAAAACCAACTTGCATTTCATGAGTGATCATGAAGCAGCAGAATTCCTGACAAACAGGAAGAGCTGCAATTTGCTTCAGCAGAGCAGATTATAGAAATTCGGAGAACTAGTAAGTGATATCCCGTGGGAGACAATTTTGAGAAAGTTAAGCACAGTAGACAGTTCTTTAAGGGAACTATGTTAAATGCAAGTTTATGCAAACCTATGCAAAAGAAACGATGCAAAATTGCAAGTTATGACAGTGCGGAGGAAGGATAGGAGCTGTAGATCACTCACCAAGGAAAAGACTTTTAAGAAAGATGAACGGATAGATGAACATTTGAGGCCAGAGAAAGTCAAAAGCAGAGAATGAAACCATGTGATGCATAGTTGACGTTTCCTTCCCAGCATGTTAGTGCACTGACAGGTAGAGAAAGCTAAGGAAAAATGATCCATTTCTCTGCAGAGTGAAGGTTATTGGCAAACAATTCCTAGAAAGTTAGTAGATTTAGTTCCCTTTTCTTCTCACTCAAAAGTTCAGTCATGAGCTGGTGGTATCATGAAATGAAGACAAAAAGGGCAAGAACTTGAAAGGGGAAAGAAAACAGTCGAAGTTTTGTGAATAAATTAGTTATTTTGTGATCAGCCAGCCCAAATTAACATTCTGAATATCTACGAAAGGGTAGGAAGAGAGCCCATCTTTAAAAAGAAATAGGAGAGAGAGGTTAAAATTGTAAGCCAGATAGTTCATTTCAATTTCTATGAAAACAGTGGGAAAATAATTTACACACCAGTTGAGAATACTTAGAAAATAGTACATAAAGAGAAAAGAGTGGTCAATAAAAATTATATTGAGCCAAAATAATTCCATTTTGTCATGGGATATCACTTCATGTGGCTAGAAAAACAGTTAATATCACATCTTGATTTTAGTGAGTCTCTGGACACAGCCTCCTAGAACAATCTCCCAAGTAAGCTAGGAACATATGGTCTAGATTAAAATGCTGCAAGGGAAAGGAATCACAGCAATACGCTGAGTGGGGTTTTTTTTCCAGGAATATGTCCCTATTCCAGAATTAGTTGATATTTTCTTCAGTGACTTGACTAATGGAAAAATGAGAATGCTTATATTTGCAAATCATACCTCTTTCAGAGAAAATGCAGGTAGAGGATTAAAACTACCCCTGAGAATTTAAAGATCTGAGACAAATCAGGATGTAATTCAGTAAGAAAAAAAACGTGTGGCTCTGTACTCAGACAGCAATAACCATCTACCCATGCATAGGCACAAGAGTACCCACGTAGCTGTTTGAGTTGGGTATTTGGGAAGGTTTTTGTTTGTTTTTCAGAAAGGAGTAAGAATCTTATAGATCATGAGATGAGGTAAGGCCATGCAGCTGTGAGAAAGCATGTGCCATCCTGCATTATGGTGATAATTCTGGAGGAAAAGAAATCAGTTTCTACCTCCCTGGGCTCCCTGCCTGCTCTGGTATGACCCAACTTCCTGCTGCCCCTTGCAGCTTGGTATTGGGCAGTGGTGAGCTCCTCCTATGACACCTCAAACTACAGGTATCCTCATGAGTGACCTGTATGTTTATTTCCTTTTGCTTCTGATCTACTAAAGTCCTGTTTGCTTGTGGTTGGTATTTTTTTACTTTAGAACTCTTAAGTCAATGGCAAATATGCCATCCTATATTTATGCAGTAGCTTACTCCTGAGTAGGAGCTGTAGCACCTGTGACTGTCCTACTGAGTAGCAACACCATTACCATGTGTGACAAAACATCTGTATGACAAACAGGGCTTTAGAACTGGACTGAGATTTGCTGGAAAGCATACATAGCATCTTTGTAAAAGTGTATACTTTCACTTTTAGAACTAGCTAAAACATTTCATAGGGATTTTACTGTTTTTCTGTGTAAGACTTGTCCTTGAGCAGTTGATTACCCTCACTCCCCTTAGCCATATTCATTATCCAGAACTGCCCATTAGGTAGTTTCTGGAAGCAGTTCCCAGCTTGAAGACTATTCCCAGGTATTTCAGCCCTCAAAACATCACTGTGGCTGAATGTTATTTTCAGGGAGAAGGTGGAAGAAATGATAATAGGGAGTGTTACAGAGCAATTCAATAACAGATAGCCAGGCTGTCACTAGGGGAGACTTCTCCAAACTCCAGTAAAAAACTTTCACCAGGTAGGTACACTTAAAAAATATGAGAGATTTTGAAGGATTCTGCCACTGTCATTTCCCAACCATATCACAGGAACAGGAGAGAGATAAGCTTTCACAGTACTGCTGATATCTGGAGGCTTATTCTACCACACCAGACTGGCACATGTTCTGTTTGTGAAATACAATGTGCCGTAAATGTTTTCAGGAAAATTTTAGATATATTTATTAATTACATTGGAACTATTTTGGATTTCCTTTGTTTCTCTCAAAAGGATGGTTTTGTGGGAGCACACAAAGTTGGTCGCTGAAGGGGGAATATGAAAGTGTTGTAATGATAGAAGGCTTCTGACATGTGACCAAGTCACTGTATAATATGTTAACTTACCCATCCCCAAACTTGAAAGTCAGTGGTAAGGCCTACTACAGAAATGGGTCTGGCTTCTAATACTGAAGAACTAAGATCTTACAAACGGATTTTGCATGAATAAATCATATTAAATCCTCCATTTCAAGGTTTCAAGATGATGTCATATCTTTGGGAAAAAAATGTATATTTGATAAGAAAATGAGAAATACATTTCTGGCAAACTACTCATCTATGTTTGTGTCATTATTATAATTTTAAATCTGTAAGCATTTGGAAACTGCGTAACAGGTTGGAATTTTAGATTAATCAGAGATGACAGATTAGTGGGCAGATGAGATCAAGTGCTATCATAAATTGTTGTCATGTGACCTTGAAATTTAAGGCAATGTCAAATCGTGTAGTCAGTATATCCAAAAGACATTTATAAACCAGTATTTCTAAAGGAAGAAGATGATGTAACACCATCTCCTTCTTGATTTTTGTGCTTGGTTTAAAAAGGAGAATTGGAAGCGTTCAGTAACTGTATGAAAGTCTGAGAAAATTTATCAATTTTTCATGACTGTGAAAATTCACATTGTTTCAGCAGGTGCTTGGAAACAGCACACCTATCAAAACTTTCCTGTCCTCCAACAATCTGCAACATGAGAGGCTGGTCACTCTAAGGTGGAGTCCTTGTAAATGAACCTGACACCTAGGGCCAGCAAAGATTCGTGCAACAGGCTTGCATCCCAGTGTGTTTCTATGCATACCTCCAACTAGAAGGATAATTAACAGCTGAATATAGCATATGAGACTGAACATACTTGCTCAAGGGAAAAACTGCAGTGGGATTATTTTACATTTTTGAGACAGGTTACCCATAGCCAAAACCAGTTAAAGTAATATGTTGTTATTCCAGTGATGATGAATGTTACAATAACAATCACATTTGTCAAGAGAGGTCTGATTATTTTTGTCCCTTATATAAAGATTAATAAGAACTTGACTTATGCATTTTATTAAATAAAGAAACATAATTGTTTTGTTCTCTGGTTTAGGAGGACAAACAGAATGTAAAACAGGGCAGATGAAGGAGGCTTGAACGCAAATATATTGTAACATTCATTACAATAACTTAGAAGTCAGAGCTCCAGCCTGTAAGTACAAGCCATATCACAGCTGTGTGGCACATATGAACTACAGACTGGATATAGAATAGAAATTAAATGTCTGGAAAGCAGCTGCTGGTTATCTATAAGACATCTGGATTTTTCCTCAGCTCAGAAAGAACTTGCTGCTGCAGCCAACTGTTGTGTTTCAGGGACCTGTTTTTTTTCCAGCATAAAATGTAAGTGCAATGTGACACAAAGCAATTTCCCTTTTTAAATTTTTAGATTCCTCTTTGTTTTTTTTTCTTTTTTGATCTCTACTGCAGAAACCTCTGCTTCTTCTGCCACCCTTTTCTGCTACCCTTTACATTTGTGACTAGCTTATTAGTCAGGCTGGTTTGATCACTATATTTGGCATAGATTCCCTGCCTTTAAAAGGCCCACTATTTTGTCTTAACGGTACTTTTATTATTTAGCACGGGTCAGGGAATGATCATGTTAAATGTTGCTTTATGTGCCAAATATAACCACCTGAATGCTGTGGAGTCAGGTGACTGTAGCCAGTGTTGCATATATTGCACTGCTTGTCGATGTTGTCTCCTGGTGCCCTCTCCTAGACTCCATGGATAGGGCAGTGTTTTTTATATCTTTGCTGATTTCTCACCCTCCTGAGGAATGCTGAAGTGTCAAGAAAGACAACGCAGAGGCATTCATTCGTCTGAGGTACACACAGTACTACAAAGCTATAGCCCACAAGCTAAAATTCTTTTTTTTCTTAAGGCATATAGGAAATGTGATTTTATTATTAATATGGGATGAATGGAATTCACTTCTATTCTTCTGAAAACCACTGAGAGAGCTAAAAATTCAAAAAGCTGTCCAATTCTAGTTTCCTTTTCCTGTTTTCAAATGTTTCATGAGGCACCCACTGACAAAAAAATGAAGCTGAACCTAACTGTCACTCTTTACCACATGTTCTTTCCGGGCTGGTTGGTATATATAAGTTTTCTGGTGAGACTAAATACACATATATTTTGTGATTTTTTAGGAGCTAGGTGACACATAATCTGGAATTCTTTTTATACATGTCAAAATTGAAGAATTTTTTTTATATGTTCAGGGTTTTTTTTTTCCTTTCTTTCAGAACAGTTATGGAAAAAGTATTGTTATATACAATACTGGTAACACAGAATGTGCCATTTTGGGGTGGTGTGAGTAAAAGCCGTTGACCACAAATAAATAAATATATGGGTGTATATGCGTGTGCACTTATAGAAGTGGAAACTCAATCATTCTCATCGACTGATGATATTTTACCCTAAGACAAGATCCTTATCATGGTCTTTTACACTTACTGTCCACTGCTAGTTTACAAGATTTGATTTAGCTACAACATGGATAAGCAGCTATGCACTTGCAAAGCAATACCCTAACGATGTATCTCAGAACGTGCACCAAATTCACTTTTAGCAATGCTAAATTCACTCCTAAGTTATCACTTTAAATTTCCCATTAAGTTATAATAGCAAATGAATTCACAGACTGAGATAACAGATTATATAAGGAGTTATTCAACTGTGTTATATTAGTCTTTAAGAGTTCCTTCTTAGTGAGAGGAAAGCTGTAGTTATAGCAGAAAAAAGTTTTTCCTTCACAGGATTTAGTCTGAAGTGTGTTCACTTTAGAAACTCTCCCCTTGATTGTGGTGCAATGGGAGGAGTTTTCAAGGTGGGCAATTAATTTCAATCAAAGCCATCACCCATTTTAGCTATGAAATACATATGCTCAGGTAATTTTGAAGCAAATGTGTACGCCTTTGTCCTTTAAAAGTACATAATCTGATTTGGCAGGGAAATTTGTGGTGTCTCTGTGGTAGATTTTCTATTAAATTTATTTAACTACTCCCATTCTTGAGAAAATAGGCTCAATGAGCTGGTTTGGGACATTCATTAAAGCCTGCTCCAAAGCATGTTTTATATGAAAAATGGCTTTGCTACTGAGGATGATTGGTATGTCAAGAATTTCATTTCAGGCAACATTTTGTTATTAGAACAAGCTTCTGTTGTCTACACAGGGGTTTTGTTCAGAAAGATATAATGCAAGATAGGAAAAAGGCATCCTTCCAATGTTCTTATCTACTATGCAATACTTCTGTTGTAAGCATAGATAATAACAATTCTAATATTTTTTTCATTTCCTTGGTTGCTGCTTCTTACTCTCATCTTATAACGGTCCTCATGATTTTACTGCTGCTTCTCTGGGGGCTAGAAAAATAATCAAAGAGCTTGTGATCAGTGTACTTGTTTATTGAAACCTTAGAATTGGATGCCTTAAAGGTGATTTTTTAAATCCCTTTTTGTCTTTTTGTAAAATACAAAGAGTATCACACTCAAACATGTTTTTCTCATTGATTTTTGCATCATTAAATCTTGATAGGTCCATTTCTCTCCTGTTTTCTTTAGAAAGAATATCAGTTTCTGAAGAAAAAAAAAAAAAGGCAGGAGTTCAGATTGGAGAAGGTCACAGCCTTTGGGGACATCACTGCGTCAGTCCTCTCAAACTAGCCCAAGACCAAAGTCACCCATAAATGGGGAGGAAAATGAGAATCTGATGAAAGCCAACAGAAACAAAACAGACCAATAGTTTTTCAGTAGGCTTCTGTGGTTACTGTTTTGGTTTGTTCATTTTTATATCCCATCCCACCCCAACCCTTGCCCTTCCGGAAACTTCATTATTATTTCTCTCTCTCATTTGTAGACTGGTAAGGAAGTTTAAAATTCTCTCAAATCAATAAAACTCTGCAGCAATCAATTGTGTAGAACAGTAAGTTTCTCTGGGTAGCAGATAACACATTTCTCTCCATCTTGGAAGACAACTACCATACTTTATTGCTACAGTGACTATTTTTGCACAACCCTTGCTTCCTGAACAGCAACCACATTTCCAGAGACTGTTGCATATGACAGCAGCAGATAAAGTTAACATATTAAGCAGCTAAAGCAGCAGAGAAATGGGGGTAATGCACTGGATAGTGCTTGTGCTTTCATTTCTATTTTTCCTTGCTTTTAAAAAAGTTGTCCTATCCGACTGAACCAGAAGATGAAAGTGTGTGATACTTGCTGGGAGATAAAACACCTGATTACTATATGCTGCTTCTGGCAATGGGCTGAAGGGGCAGTGGTCATCAAAAGATCATCACAGCTGTCGGAAGTGAAGCACCACACTTCATCATCTGATCACATGAGCTCTCAGGATCTACTGTGAAACCATTACATTGTAGTCAACAGGAACAAGTGATTTTCTTAATGCATTTTTTTGCCTTGTCTCATGTAGTGTGTACAAAGTACAGCACAGTCAATAGCAGGCAAAATACTTGGAGTTTCTTGAAACCCAGCAATTCTTTGTATACCATTAGACAAAGCATTCTAGAAGCAAAGGATGAATGTGATGAAAGGGGAAGATGGGTTGACCTTGCCACCCAGTGTCTCCTCTCAAGTTAATGTTAAACACAGCAGGGAAGGGAATGGAATAGAGGCCACCTAACAATATTCTGCACGCCAGCTGAGTGAGCAGGATAGTGTGTCACAGAGGGAGTCCAGGGGCATGTTTTAAACACTCCTCTACCCTACCTCTAACCAACAGGATCCTATAATTTCCAACCACACCCCTGCTTGTCTGTCTCTGAATGTCAACAGTAGGTAAAGTCGACACATACAGCAGTTGAAGCATTTAAAGGATCACCAAGAATTCACTGGAAGAAATTTATTGTCATTTGTCGTTGTGCTTAATAATTTAAAGGTCACCTCTCTTCTGAACATACTCAGTTTTCCTTGCTTTCATTTTTACTTTAACATCTGCCAAACTAAAATTATTAATGAGAAATTAATTATGGGGAAAAAAATGACTTTCATGCACCAAAGATCACAGAATCACTGAATGGTTGAGGTGAGAAGAGACCTCTGAAGATCGTCCAGTCCAGCTCCCTGTGAGAGCAGGCTCACGTAAGGCAGGTTGCCCAGGACCATGACTAGTGTTTTCTAAATACTTCCAAGGATGGAGACTCCACAGCTTCTCTAGGCAATCTTTGCCAGTGCTCAGTCACCCTCACAGCGAAAAAGCGTTTCCAGATATTTAGATGAAATCTCCTGTGTTTCAGTTTGTGCCTATTGCCTCTTGTCCTATTAGTTAAAGGGGATGTAAACAGCCTGCAGCGAACCGAGTAGATGGAAGCTAATTCATGCAGTTCATTGTAGTGCCCAACTGAAGTGTGTAACACATGAGAGTGTCTGGCAAAATCATTGGTTCATTTCTGGGAAAGAAATCAAATTGCATGATGAAACCTCCTCAGCACTGTCAACCACTCATGGATGCAGGGTTTGGCACTGGATATGTCTTCAATTTGGAAGATGTGAAATATTATCTTCAAACAACTCGACAAGCATTTTTCTTCAAACCCACAAATCTCAGTTATAAGTACCACATAAATCTTTAAAACTGAGCAGCAGGTAAAATCTGCTGCTTTTAATTCTCCTCCAACCTTTGCTGAGCTGCTGTCCTTTAAATTGTTGGTACAACTACTTAGTTTTCTTCCCCAACATTACCAGTTGTTCATGCTTTATTATAACTACTAATCACCTATTTTTTCTTCTCACCTGAATGGTGGAAGATAATATCCATGTCACAGTGATGCAACACTAACTCTGTACTAACACTTGTGATGTCATGGCTGTGTCACTAGGAAGAGTGCTGTGGTGGCCACATCACAGGATGGGCGTAAAAACGAGCTGCAACAACCTGGGCTGGGAGGCAAACATCTGCATGAGCAAAGGCTGAGAGGAGAAGGCAGGAGTTGCTGCCCATGGCAATAGGGAACGACTGGTCCTCCTTTGTTGTTTCTCCTGTCTATTACAGCTGGATCACTCAGATAGGGATGTGAGCAGAACACGGCATGCTCCTGTCAATCATAGAATCATAGAATAGTTTGGCTTAGAAGGGACCTTCAAAGATATCTAGTCCAACCCCCTTACAATGAGCAGGGACATCTTTAACTAGGTCTGGTCTCCCAGAGCCACATCCAGCCTGGTCTTGAATGTCTCCAAGGGTGGTGCAACCACATTTCTGGGCAACCTGTGCCAGTGTTTTACCAACTTCATTGTAAAATTTTTTTCCTCATGTCCAGCCTGAATCTCTTCTCTTTTATTTTAAAACCATTCCCCCTTTTCTTATCGAAACAGGCCCTGATAAAAAGTCTCTCCCCATCTTTCTTACAGGCTCCTTTTAAGAACTGAAAGACCATCATAAAGTCTCTCTGGAGTCTTCTCCAGACTGAACAAGCCCAAATCTCTCAGCCTGTCTTCATAAGAGAGGTGCTCAAACTCTCCAGTCGTTTCTGTGGCCCTCCCCTGGACTCTCACCCACAGGTCCATATTTTTCCTATACTGAAGATTCTAGAGCTGAATGCAGTACTGCAGGTGGGGTCTCACCAGAGTGGAGTAGAGAGGCAGAATCACCCCCCTTGTCCTGCTGGTCACACACCTTTTGATGCAGCCCAAGATACAATTGGCCTTCCAGGCTGCAAGCACACACTGCCAGCTCATGCCCACGAATGGTGTTTTTCATCCACCAGTACCCCAAAGTCGTTGTCTTCAGGGGTGCTCTCAATTCCTTCATCCTCCAGCCTGTATTGATGCCAGGGGTTGCCCTGACCCAGGTGCAGGACCTTGCACTTGTCCTCGTTGAAATTCATGAGTTTCACATTGGTCCAATTCTCAAGCTTGTCCAAGTCCCTCTGGATGCCATCCCTTCCCTTAGGCATGTCAGCTGCTCTGCTCAGCTTGGTGTCATCTGCAAACTTGTTGATGGTGCACTCAATCCCACTGTCTACATCCTCTCCTTCCTCTGCCACTCAGATGGAGAATGTTGCAAATTGCTGCAAGGACATTGACCTAAGGACAAGAAAACACACACAGCCCCAGTCTATACATTATCATGGTCCTACAGGAGCCTGGAAAGTCCTTACAACCCTGGACAAATTGTGTTTCACACCACCCTTCCAGATTGTACCCATGGTCTTACAAGTTGCTGGAGGGTCCCCAGAGCCACGGATAAATGGTGCTCCTCACCACCCATCTTCTCTGAATGAAACTTATTTCAGTATAAAATTTCTGATTCATGAACTCGTTGGCTTCTTCTGGTTTGTGCTGTCGTTTTATGGGAAACCTTTTGGTATTTTGCATAAAGATGTATAAGCCTAAATTTTTTAAGAAAAAATCCCCCACTGTCAGACTTTTCCATATAGATCAGCTCCTCGAGGGCAATGACTCACTTTCCAATATCTTTCATCCCAATTCCAATTCTCCTTTTGGGTCACATCTTTCAAATTGGATGGAGCACCTTTGCTATCTAATAGCAAAATCGCTTTTTCTTCAATAAGGCCAGAGTTCTTTTGCCATTCCCTTTTGTTTAATGAGAAAGGCAGAGCAGGGTCTCTGGCCTATCTAATTTGAGGCTAATTTTTGTAAATCTGCCTAAAGATAGGAAATGGGCAGGCTGTTTTGATCTTCTTGCATGATTTCAGACCAAAAATTAATTTTTTATATGAGAAAGCACTGGAGTAGAACTGGAAATAACTTAGAATATAGTTGTTTCATGTGGGGGGGGTTTCCCCCTTTTTAAAAAGGGGTTTTGATAAATAGCATAAGGTAGGCAAAATAACTGAAAACAGATGCTGTAACAGGCAGGGCTCTGAGATTTCCTTGGGGACATAAAGTATGGTATATTGACTTGACCCAATGGTTGTTGTAGTTTTATCGTCCCTATTTGTTTTTATAACTATTACAATAGCATCTGAAAGTTCCAAGCAAGGTTAGGTTTTCATCACTTTTTATACTAAAAAAAAGATTCCTTTCTCATTCATTGCAAATTTATATGGTAGTTAAACACAGCACTGATAACGTAACAGAGAGGTGTTCACAGTGGTTCTTAAAACCAAGCCCTACCATGGCACACTGCAGTCTTAATTGTGGTAGATGGCTCTCAACAACAAACTGTCCTTTTACAAGCTTATCATTAAACTAGACTAGTGAAGATTCCTTGCTGTAAACACAGAGATCTTGGCCTGCTTCTTCCTTTCACAAGCTACCATTAGAAGTAACCCATGGTTCAAGATATAGAATCAGAAAAAACATATCAATCAAAATATTTGAAATGTAAGTCTTCCATTTCACCTGCTAATACTGTTGATTCCTTCTGCCTTTATGTCTTTATACAAAGATAGGTTTATAATGAGAAATTATTTGGTGTTAGGAATATAATTACTTTTTTAGGAAGGAACAGTATTAACGTTAATTTAGATAGACTAAAGCTCCTGTCATCTTTTGTTCTTGTAGTCCTGCTTCTTTGAAGCCAGAGCAACAAAAATCTACACACAAAAGAAAAGAAAAAATATCTGCAAAGGAAGAAAATATAGCCCATATTTTCCAGTGTCTCAGAGAGAATATCTGTATTGAAAAAAATCTCAAGCTACCTCTAATCAGCCAGCACAGAATGCTGTAAGTGCTCTAATTGTGGTAGCATGGTACTCCCCTATGTCTGTTCACCTAGCCGAGGAGTACCATTAGCCCAGAGAAAGCGCACAATTAATACAATTGTAATTCTCCGGTGCCTGAGTAGCCTTCTCACATCTAGTTGATTGTCATGGTTTATGAACAGCTGGTAACTCAGCATCATGCTGCCATTCGCTCACCCCCCTAAATTTCTCCCCTCCAAGTGGGATGGGGAGTAGAATCAAAAGAATGTAAACCTCATGGTTTAAGATAAGAATAGTTTAATAACTAAAGTAAGATATGATAAAATAATACTATTAATGAAGAATAATAATGATGGAAACAACAAGGGGAGAGAATATAAAAGGGGGAAGGGTTTTAATACTGGTTTTAAATCTTGAATGTGGATAGTACTATATGCATGCCCTTAATTTCCATGGAGTTTGACAATTTTATGTAGCAAGCTGTGTTATGGTTGAAGTTGTCTATGGCAACAAAGCCTAGGCCTCTGTTTAACAGGATTTACTGTTCCCTACCCTCACCCCTGTTCGGGTGTCCTCAACATAAAAAGGACATGGTTATGGATGGATCTCTTGCCCTTTGATGAGAGCTTGAAGGATTTGGGCTTGGTCAGCCTGGGGAAGACATGACTTATCTAACAGCATCTCCTGCTGCCTACAAGGAGGACATCAAAGGGACAAAGTCAGGATTTTCACAGTGATGCATGGTAGAGTAGGAAGATTAACAACCACATGTGTAAGTTGAAAGAAGAGAGGTTCAGGTAACATAAAAGATATCTCTTCCCCTTGAGGCTAGCCAAGCAGGGAAGAAGCTTGCCCAGTTAGGTTGTGTAGTCTCTATTCTCAGTGTTTACAAGACCCAAAAGCATTAAGCCTGTCTGAGCACAGAACTGGTTTTACTGTGAGCAGAACATTGGAATAGATGACCTCCAAAGGTCCCTTCCAACATGAATTAGCCTATGATTTTATATTTACATGAAAAAGCAATATATATATTTCTGGCAAAGTCATCACTTCAGAGCTGAATTTCTTGAAAGTCAAAAGACAGATATTTCTAGTCAACTCAGTTTAAAATTAAATGGAGCCATTTCCTAAAGATTTCCAGAGGAATGGAAAATATCATTAGTCAAGTGCCAGCTATGTCACCTTTTTCAGACACTTACTTTTCAGTGTGTCAGTGTGTTTCACAGGAGGTGTCAAAATACAGATTCCAGATCTATGGAAGTCCTCCATGCAACAAATATTTATGATCATCTGAATGAACAAGGTAGGGAAATTTCAGCCTGTGTTTTTTCTCATCTTCTCGCTCTGCAAAGCACATATTAAAATCTTCACATGGACAAAAACCGTTAGCAGCATAGCTCATACTTCTGAAAGATGAGGGCATGGGGTGCACTGTAAGTAAATCACATGCAGCAGATGCCTGGTCTTCAGAGGTTCCTGGATTGCATGGGATGGGAGTGAATGAACCTGAAACCCCAAAGACTAGCATCATCATAGCTTAAGGGCCCTTAATTTCTCACAGTGGAGGGTTTAGATTTTACAGATGTAACATCTCATCCCAGGCCTCGTGCTGCTCATGAGAGACACAGGAGACCCTCTTGATCTGCTTGAGAGGTACTGGTTTGACACTGCTGTCTTTGGCAATAGGAATTTTATTATCTGAGTTATTATTTTATTTCTATGAAGTTAAACTCTGTGAAGGGGTTTGCATAAAGAATGCCAATTCTGTACAGAGAAGGGCAGGAACATTATCTGCCTGGGGGAGGAGGGCTCACACAGGTTGGGTTTTGCATGCTGTAAGCTGGAAGGTATTGCAAAAGAATGTCTTTTTAAAGACTTCTGAACTTTTTTCTTAATCCTGGTAGTCAATAACTCTGGATTTCGAGAAGGCTGAAGTTTCCCCTGGATTTGGAGAAGGCTGAGGTTCTTAATGACTTCTTTGCCTCGGTCTTCACTGGCAAATGCTCTGACCCCACCACCCAAGTCTTGGAAGGCAGACACAGGGACTGTGAGAATGAAGACCCTAAGCCCACTGTAGGAGATGATCTGGTTCGAGACCATCTTAAGAACCTGAACGTACACAAGTCCATGGGTCCTGATGAGATCCATCCGTGGGTCCTGAAGGAGCTG